TCGCAGCTAAAATGAATTGGCAGGCACTCAGTCACGCAGGTGCGGGACGAGCGGAGGACATACTTGGCCTGCACGTTCCCCACATTGGAGACCACGGGCGTGTCGGGGTTGTTGACAATATTGACAAGAGTGCATTTGTCTGCTCTTTCAACATTGGGCGAACCTTTGGGAATGAGATGGGATATATTAGACGGGGGGCAAACGAGTGAAGATAGAATAATTACCCGGTGCACCGGGGCAGGACAATAACAAATCAGTGTCCGAGGGAGAATCGTCCCGAGGAATGAATGCAGGAGCGGAGACGGCGTGACCGAGCAGCGCAAAAAGAACAAAAGAAACAACGAGCATGATCTGCGAAGGCAAAGGATGGAAGAAAGAAAGAAAGAAAGAAAGAGGAAGAGCTAGCTTGAATTGAGCACTGTCATGCACTTGGCCTTTATGCTGTTGTGTCGAGAAACATCTGTCCATGTTGCCTGGAGATGGTTGGACAGACCGATGCGATCGCTGAAGATCCCTTCAATGAAACCGAAAGATGTGGATGCTAATCAATCGTTGTGACGTCGCGTGCAGAACAGTGCTATAGCAACAAGCGGTCGCCAGCGCTTCGCGCAGGCTCCTACTTGCTTATACTGCTCAAAATTATTTGCACCTGTGGATATGTTTGGAAATAACTTGGTCAGACAAAATAGCGCGCGGTGCGCTGTGACAATAAACCGTATGAAAATACTGTTGCAGTTCACAGTCATAGGCAATAAGACGACACTGATCGGTAGTAGGTACAGTTTCATTAGGTACGTATTGCTGTGCGTCAAATGTCTACTGAGGATCGTCAACTGATGATCGGGGCAGGTCAGGAGCGGGTCAGTACCTAGGGAACGACAGAGTACAAGGGTTACCATATGCGGAAATCAGAACTCACCACACGCGGACATGCATATGGAACGTACGCGTAATCTCTACAGCGAGAATTTTCACTTGACATTGAAAAAAGTGCCACAGAATTGAATGACTTGGACACGCCTTTCCATCGCCAAGTGTCTGACACTACTATGTATATCCTTTGCTTTTCCTCTCCTCCACGCAGGGGCTCACACAAGGAGGGTCGTGTCAATATGATCCCTGATTCACTCTAATCAGCACCGAGACATTTCGACCAGACGCATGACTCACTAGACTCCAAGATGAATAAATGGAACCCACCGATGGAAGCTCTTCTCGCCAACCTTCTTTCTCAGTTGCTCCACTGCGAAGTGCAAGGCATCAGCCGACTGAGCACTGTCCCCCTCGGCTTTGTGCAGAAGATAGGAATAGAATGATTCCATGACTATTGGGGCGTCGTCGTCTCCGATGGACCACATTGTCGCAATGACACTCTGATAGCCAGTCATCAGCATTCCAGCGGCAAGGTGTACTGCTTCTTCAGGCATATCCACGTCTCCGGTGGCTGTCTGGCATGCTGAGAGTACCGCGAGTGCCTTCCACCCCGATAAGTCCGTGCGCTGCATAAGTTGACGCAAAGTTAAGCCGCCGTCGTACAGCATAAACGCACTCTGCGTTGCATCCGCACGGTCTTGTATGGCGTGGCATGCAAAGTGTATCCACGGGTATTGATCTATGAGGGGCAACACAGAAGAAATTGTCGCCTCGGAGTCGTTTAGCCATTTCAGGTTGTCGCCGACGACCCTCTTGATGGCGGACACCTCAGCTGCTGTCCCTGGTAGCGGCCTCTGATTCGGGGCAGCGGGCTGCGAAATTGCCAATATATTTGGTAGTACTTCCGCTTTTCGCATTATTTTGTGATGATGCAAGGCCTCTGCTAGGGCAGATAAGGATGGAGTGTATGAATGTACCGCATACTTAAACGCCGTGGGCGAGGACGGATCCGCCGATTCGTATATTCCTGCAGCATGAAGGGGCAAGAAGGCCAAGGGGCCGGACACGCACCAGGTTATACGCGGCAATCTGGCCTTTTGCGGCGAGTTCATCAAGCCCAACCTCAGAAAGACTGGCTCAACAACTGAAGTCCAGAGCAGGTGTAATGTTTCCTCCATTGACATCTCTGCTTCCAGCCTCTCCCTAACTCCTTCCAAACGGACTTCTTCACCCCCACGTAAGAGACTCGTGACGGTCGAGGAGACGCGGGCCAGACTCTGATATTTCGCATCAGGTAGTGGGACATGCAGAATATCGTCATGACCTTCTTGCAAAATGAGGGCATCACTGCGCCATTCTGCAACATTTATCATGACAATTGGGCCAAGGATAGTTGCACTCTTAAGCTCGACAAGAGTTTTCGGAGACAGGAAGGTTTCCAAGCCAGGTAGCTTCCTCACATCCAAGATGAGCTGGCCAAGATCTTGAATCAACGCCCCATATCCTGTAGCGCTGCTCACATAGGCGGGGCTTCGGATATTTCTGTCCAATATCGTATTCCCCATTGTTGCAAGTTGTGCAGCAATCGCATCCTTCCTATCTGCTTTATCTGGAGCGATAGAACGAACCTTGTCGTCAGACATTCGAAGACGTAATATATAGCTCCATACCACGCATCGGCTGTGTTCGAACCATTCTAAACCATAATCAAAGTATTGGGCTTCCATTGCAGCAGCAACACTGTTGCTGAGCGCAACACGCACAGTCGGAATTGAGCTGTAGTCCAGAGGCAGACCGGGGCTCACAACGTCACCTATTAAATTATTGACAATCTTGAAAGGTCGTATTGAGGCAGTGGCGTCTTTGTATGTAAAGTTCAGGTTGGCGTAGGTACATGCCGCCTCAAAGCGCTCTTTGCTACGGTGGCAGCAGATCATATCTCTCCGGAACCCGTGCATGGCCTGATCCAGATCGATATAGGAATTTGACACCTTTGTGTATCGCTCAAGAAGCAATCTTGCAAGGCCGGACATATTTGCTCTCTCTGTCGTTGCAATATAGGTATACTGCAATTCAATGGCCAAATCCAAATAACGAGCATCAGAGGTGAGATTAAAGTGTTTATAGACGAGATAAGCTATCCCCGGATGGTGATGATATTCAGATGTTGCATCTTCATATTGAACAACAGCAGAGGATATATCTTCAAATGAAAACTTGGCTTCATCTATCTGCTTGACCAAGTGGTCAAACTGGTTCATAGTAAACTCAGCTGTACGCTGTTTCTGTTTGTTCAAGTCTCCTGCACTTGTTAATGGAGAATTGGACCATAGGGATTCAAAACCAAGGGGCTGCAGGCCAAGGGCATGCAATATGTTTATGTCACCACTCATCCTTGCTAGCTGCTTCGCAGACAATCCATCACCATTGCATGCATTAGGATCAGCACCTGCCAGAAGCAACAGGTGGACAACTTCTCCAGCATTGGGTTTATGATACGTAACTGCACTGTGCAAGGGTGTTCCCTCATCTTCAGCATAGATTGTGACATTGGCACCATATTCTAGTAGGAGGTGCATACTCTTGACGTTCCCATATTTTGCAGCAAGATGAAGTGCTGTCGAACCTTCTCCTTTGGAACAGATGTTTGGATTTATGCCATACTTCAACAGTAGGTGCACAACCTCAAAGTAGTCTTCTGCATTTCGTAAAGCTGAATGTAGGGCAGTGTCTCCTCCGTTATTAAGTTGCTCCACATTTGCTCCACTCTTGAGAAATAAGTGTGTCAAGTCCAAATGTCCCCTCAATGCAGCATTGTGCAGCTGTGGAGGAGTGTGGAAATTTGCCCCATGCTTCAGCAGCAATTCAACCGGCTCAAAATGACCTGAGATGACTGCTAACTCCAGAACAGATCTACCACCAGCAGTTACTGCATGCAAATCAGCTCCATGCTCAATGAGGAGAGTCATGAGTTCCACTACTTCATACCCTGCCCAATCTTGTGTGGCCACAATATGTAAAGCATTCATATTTTCCGTGGCACGTACAAGAGGACTTGCCCCCCAGTCAAGCAGCAAGTGCACAATGTCTATGTGGCCTCCATTGATAGCATAATATAGTGCTGTTGTTTCATCTCCATCAACATGATGTTCAGTGTCTGCACCATGCTCCAGCAGCAAACGCACAATGTCGGAATGACCATGACTTGATGCTAGCTGTAGGATAGTCAATCCATCTCGTTCAAGATCATCCCATCTGAAGGTTTCTATGGATTTTGCATTGACATTTGCACCATGTTCGACCAAAAGTTGTGCAATATCGACTTGATTGTCTTGCACTGCAATGAACAAAGCAGTCTGTCCAGTTGAGTCAAAGGCCTCAAGATCAGCACCAGTGTTGAGGAGCAGAGAAGTACAATCTATGTCCTGGTTGCGTACAGCAAGATGGAGAGGTGTATCCATTCTGAGATGTGTATCTGATTTCTTGTGGCCAGCACTGGGCAGATCCCTGGGAAGAGCAGGCCCCATAGTAGGAAACATTTCAGAATGTGCTACAATCATCAAATGCCAGCAATCAGAAATGAAAGGAGACATTGGATTGTGAAAGACGTACCTGTAGTGACGCGGCCTTGTCAGCAAGTGAATGTGCGGGTTTGAATGACAATGCACGACCTATGAAGAAGGGGATGTATCAAGTGTGTTTGAGCAATGTGTTGTTGGTGATCGGAGGAAACGGGAGGACACCGGGGAGCAGCAAGGATGTTTGACCTACGGAGTACGTGGGCAAACGGATAGAAGAGTGTGACGTGGCGATACGGAGTATATCAGTATATCTACGGGTTCCGGACCGTGATCCGTGAACTTGTAAGGCTGCTCACGTAATAACGCTTTCCATCTGCAAGAACTCTCCCATAAAACAAAATAACTCTTCAAAACCCATCCACCGGAAAAATCCAGGTTCAAATTCTCGAATCGGATTGAATGCGTGTCATGGTCCGCGACGAGTCACGTGCACCGCTTGGGCATTCACGGACCGACACCCCCTTGGTTGGTGCAGTCCGAAGCTTGCGCCTCGCTCTCTATTGAAGGCTCCGTCAGAGGGATATCAAATGACTGCCAGGGAGCAGGGGCTGTGTAGTGTAGCGGCTATCACGCCAGATTCTGATAAGGCGACTGCTTACTTGCATTCTGGTGACCTCGGTTCGATTCCGAGCACGGCCTATTAGTGACTTTGGTGGCTTTTTGCGTTTTGCTCTCAGGGGAACAGAACTCTAGATGTCTTCTCGCATCATGCTTGCCATTGATATTTTCTTTATGATTTTCCAGTACTCTTTACTTGAAACAGCTTCTGGCACACATGTGCATGCTTGCAATCGATGCACAGCATCGCTGTGCAATGATTGCTTTTCATTCTAGGAGCTGAAGTAAAATGACTACCTGTGTGTATATGTCAATTGAGATGGGCATTGGAACACACGGAGGTCATAAATCGACTACAGGGCAACATGACGGTAGCGAGACAGGGCTGCGCCTATCGACGTCCTATTGAACGGCACTGAATGTATGCTTACGGAATGTTTGCCCGCCGGTGGAACACGGATATGGAGACTTGAAGGAAGCTCCTGAATGCGACAACGAAGATCAACTGTAATTGTAGTACACGAGCATGCATCGGCACTAAAGTCTGTTACAGAGACTAATGAGCAACCCAATAAGTAGAGTGCTCTCATTAGAGCATTCAAACATCGCTTTGGAGCCTTTATACATGCTAATGTATAGTTTCAGTGTCCCAAAGACTTGAAGGGGGGAAAAGTCAAGGGACCGACCGATTGGCCCGCTGCGCCCGTGCCTCCCTATTGGGCTCCGTTAAAAAGTATGTACATGTAATACCTGAATCGCTATTAATACTGGATGAGAGAAGCAAAGACTATCCGTACGATGAAAACTGGGAGGTGTCTGTGGAGGATACGTTATAGGCATGGCGAGTTTAGGGGCATCGGTGCAATGCCCCATTTGGGTAGACGTCGCTTAAACGTCGCTTAGACGTCGGTACTGGTAGTGGTAAGAAAAGAGGGTTCGGAGTCGGCCATTTGGCAGGAAGCGGGGCTCAGCAAGGGTGAGTTCGAGCAAGGCGGATAGAGTTCGATCAGTCAGACTCGGACAGTGAACGGCTCGGATGTAATGGCTCGGATGTGATCTTGTCACACGACCCCGGACTAAATGATACGATCTTTGATACCCCGCACTGCCCCGCATCAGGTGACTGAGGGAGCGTTGCGCGGCGCTTGCGCCACATCATCAGGACTTATCTCCTCTTCCCCCCCCACATCTTCGTCGATTTCTGCACCGGCTCAAGCATCCGCCTCACGAGTACACAATGGCAGAGACTGTCACCACCCCCGCCACGATTGAACTCAACGACATGATCTTCTGCACGCACTTCAAGGAAGTCGTGAGTGTCGTCTCGCCATCTGCTCCCTCTTCTTCCTCTGTCCCGTCCGCGCTCTGTGTGCTCCATTTGGCATCAGGCCTCCCCTTCGCATCTCCCGGCATCGTATCAAGGGCCCACCCGTCCCCTTTCCTGACAGACGCGCCCATTGCCCCTGCTCAAGGCTGACTGATGGCCATCGCCTCCACCTACAGTGCACGGACTGCGACTATGACGGGCGCGAGGACAACGACGCCTTCTACGGCTTCGACCCGATCGACCGCGAAGGCATCGAAGCCCCGGCCGCGACCCTCACCAAGGACGGTGTGTACCAGTGCAAGAAGCATGCGTCGACGTGTGAGTGCTGTACTTCACTCTTCATTGGTAGCTGCGCGTTACGACCGCAATCACTCCGGTGTCTGCTCACGTGTGCTGCGGTGTCGATGGCTGGGTTCCGTAAGCAGCCGCAGCCGGTGCCATAATCTGGTTCCTTTCCCGCACGCTCCAGCCGTCAGGCAAGGGCACCCCGCATTCCGCCGTCCCTTCCCCTTTATCCCTGGCATTCTTCCCTCACGTTGATACCCTCTCCGTCCTTCCCTTCCCACACGCAAACGCCAACGCTGACACCCGCACCCGCCCCAGCGTGCTCGCAGTGCTACGGCTGGAAGAAGCAGATCACGCGCTTGCGTACCGCCGCGAAGAAGGCGGGCAAGAAGTAGCTGCGTCACGGTGCATGTACTGTACAAATGTAGGGCCGACGCTGAACCAAAATGTAAAGCTTGCTGCTTGAATCAAGCATGAATATTTTGAATGCTGACGGCAAGCGATCAATCGATCATGACTCAGTCGACTTGCGCAATTTCTTTTTTGTGCTTTACACAGTTACACTGCCTTCGTCGGTAAGTACCTTGGTTACCGATTGAATAGTATATATTCAGCCTTCCGAGGATGAGCATCTCGACCATGGTCTCCCCGTCACCCGATGCCGAACTGCACCGCATCGAGTCCCGTTTCGAAGGGCCCGGCTGCACCCACAGTGGGAACCAGGTCGTCATATCCGTCGTGCTGGAACCGGGCGCGGAAAAGCGCTTTTCCGGCATCCAAGTTGTCGTCTGCTGCAGAGAAGACGTCCCTGAGCGGCACAAACTGGTGGGTGTTTTTACGTAGATGGGATTGAATTGTGATTTTTGACAAGCGTGTGCGCTTCAGACAGTGAAAGACGACGTCGGACGTGTGCAGTTTGTTAGGTGGCAGCGGGAACAAGAGCCACCGCCGCCGGGAGTGGCCAAACAATTTTCCTTGGCCTTCAAGTTCGCGGATCCGAACGAAGATCTTCTGTTGCAGCAAGAGGCTGCGCACAAAGCTTCGGACACGTTGCTCGCTCAAGGCCTGCCTGCTTCTGAGCTTCCGCTGTATACAGTGGCATACGAGGTTGGTCGAGGAGGCTGTATCTGGCATCTGGATTGCCATTGATCTCCATTCAGGTGCAGGATATGAGCAGCGACACTTGGCATTGCGCCACGCTCGTCCTCTTGCCCAGCTGGCCGCCCGCCGACGGAACTTACAGAATCGCATACCAATTCGTGCAGCCCACCCACGACCCCGTCGTGCTCTACCTCTCTCTAAGCCACTCGCTGCGCCGCACGCTCAAGCCGAACAACGAGTCGGGCATCGTCTGCGCATACCCGGCGTCGAGGGGCATATTCGCCTTCGCCGTGCGCGTCTGCCCGCCGCAGGCGCAGCGCCGTCCCTTCACGCAGCCGCCCCCCGAGATCCTCTCCGCCATCTTCGCCTGCGCCGCCAAGGGCACATACGAGTCCGGGCGGCCGGCGCTGGTCTCACTCGCCCTCGTCTGCCACGCCTGGGTGATTGCGCTGGAGCACCTCTTCCACGACTTCGGCTCCTACACCAGCAAGGCGCCGGATCTGGTCGCTCTGGCTAAAGCTGTGCAGGCGAAGCCGCGCATGGGCAGCGCCATCCGGCACCTTTCGCGCAGCCACTTTGGGCGCGACCCGGACCGCGACGCACAGCGGTACCTGGAGCTGGCTATTGCATTCAAGGATGTCCTGCACTCGGCAAAGCACGTGCGGACGCTGGAGATCTTTGACACGCATCCGTCGCTGCGGGAGGAGTTCGTGCAGGCGCTCGGCCAGTCCAGGGACGTTAGAAACCTCCTGATCAATCGTTATTCGCTGTCCGACGAGCAGCGGGAGTACCGCTGCCAGCCCACGTTACCTGATCTTTTCCGCTGCTTCCAGCGGTGGCCGAGGCTGCACAAGCTTGAGTTGTATGGTTGGGACGGACCGAATCCATTCTTGCAGACCGTCGAACAGTTTACGGTGTGCTTTACTTGCTCTCAAACACGTATGATCTCCTCATTGCCGCTCAGATTGAACAGACCCCGCCGCTCGACTGTGCCCTGAGCACAATCAGACTCGCGACTGGGCCGATCACCGGGCCCCAGCTATGCAACCTCACCGCCGGCTCGCACGCATCCCTCACTGAGGCGTACTTCAGCGGCCTGATCGGCCTCTCGAACGCGGGCTTGAAGGAATGGCTTGTCCAGCTCGCGCCGACACTACAGCGGCTCCACATCAAGCAGTGCTCCATCGCGCGCGCGAGCGACGAGGAGGAGTACGCACTCGACGCGGCGATGGGCACGCTCACCGCTCTCTCCGACTTGCACGTCGACGGCGACATCCTCTCGGAGCTGGCCGTCCTGCGGAAGACCGCCAGTGGTGCGGCGACGCCGCGGCCACGGAGTGCGCGCATGATACACCTGGAAAACTGTCCGGGGGTGAGCCCGCATGGGCTGGTGCAGGCCATGAAGCACACGGGCTGGAATACCATCAGGGCGCGGCAGCTCTTTGAGGGGAATCAGCCGCTCTTCGAGGAGGCAGAGGCTGTAGCGAAAGAGCGGGGGCTGTCTTTCTGGTAGACTCAAATGCAAAATGTTCGTGACTTGGATGTTTTATTTCAGTAAGCACCTACATCGACAAGGGGTGTGGCGAGGTGTTCCGAACACGACGTGCAGCAGAACGGGGTCGCGATTCACTCGCTAAATTGAACGCGGATGGTTTCGCCTATAAGGACAACATCGCATACAAGTCTCTGAATCTGCTTCAAGTTCTCTCTCTAACAGTGCCAGTGAGCACCAATGTTGTCTGCCCCGGTGTGTGCAGTGACTCTGCTCTACTCCTTGAAATTATTTATTCCTAATCATGTAACAGGCCTCATAGCTGAGCCTTCCGCATCCTACGCGTCCACTACCAACTCATGAACCGCAGTTTTCGTATATCATTGATCGTCCGAGTAAGCCGGGGCCGCATGTCCTACGGAGAAAGCACTGGGGACCATGCATGTTATGCATGGGCATTCGATGGCAGACCAGACACGAGCTTGACCAAGGCAGCCTAACGCGACCCGGAGCGGTCCAGTTGGGTCCGGGGCGTCAGATGCCACTGACTCAGACCCGGGGGAAATCCGAGTCAATCACGATAGGTCACACTGGGCCTGATGCAGATAAGATCATGGTCTGAGGCGTCAAACTTCTGACCACGGTACGGACTGACGATTCTTTTGATAAGTGGGGGAGACGGATGTGTTCGTACAGAGTCCCCGTCACCCGATGCCGAACTGCACCGCATCGAGTCCCGTTTCAAAGGGCCCGGAACCGGGCGCGGAAAAGCGCTTTTCCGGCATTCAAGTTGTCGTCTGCTGCAGAGAAAACGTCCCTGAGCTGCACAAACTGGTGGGTGTTTTACATAGAGGGGACTGAATTGTGATGTTTGAC